TTTAGTTCGAGAATATAAGAGGATTCAGTTCGGTTTAGAACGAGGGACAGACTGAGGCAAACTTATTTATATGAGCCTCGACCCCCGTGACTTCTACTAGTATAGTCAGATGAGTTGTTGCTTAAAATAAGAAATCTAGAGATAAAATTTATTAATAAAAATATTCTGGAGTAGACCCGTGGTTTCTCAGACCCTCTGACCGTTCTGATTTCCTCGTCAGAGAGTCTGAGCTTGCTGAGATAAACCGTCGCAGAAAAACCGCCCATTTGCCTAAGTTTCTGTTGCCATGACAACAGAACTGATAAAGATCCTTGGTATAAGATAGATAGCCGATCAAATGCATTGACGGTAAGTAAGTATACAAAAACGCCAGAACGCCTCCCATTTAATGCATCCAGCCAATTCGCGATCCTGTTGTCATGGGTATTGTACAGGGCATAAAGTAGTCATAAATGTAAGCAAAGAAAAACAAGGAAAGAAGTGAAAAATGCACTGTAAGAGAGCCATACATGAGATCGTGAGATAAATGATGAACGAGATCAGTCAGACAGACGTCCATCAAAGAGAAAATCCCAGGTTCTCCCTATTGTCGTCGACTAGGCGCCCGTATCTATTCGACCAACGTTAGGAACGGTCTAATCATGTGGGGAGAAAACACTTACTCTAGCAAGAGCCTGAAAAACCAGACTTCCAAGTCTTCACGGCGCAAGGTTTTTTGCGCCCAATCCCGACTCTGTTGAGCTAATCGTGGTGCTGCGGTCCTACCTTCTTCTTCCGAAGCAAAGTACCTCGTAGTTTCCACATACTCATCGCCCGCCAAACTCAAGGGAACGTAATGGACCCATGGCTTGAGCCATTCATCATGCCACTCGCGGAAGATGGCAATTTTAAAAACCAAGCTATGGCTGCGCAGAAAGGCATAATAACGGCCACTGAAAGCATTCCCATCGATATCGACCAGGTATTTATACGCCCAAGCGTCCTGCTGGCCGGCTGGTTCACCCACAACAAAAAATTCTTCCTGCGCAGCACAGTCATTCGGGTCACATTGGCCAATGTATGTAAACTTGACATCGAAATGCTCGCGGTAAGGATCGCGGCTGACTTCATTTAACTCCCACTGGTCATTGCCATTTTTGGACAACACTTTCGCTATGCTCTGAGTGTTTATATTGCTGACGAATCTCTGCCGATGCTGACGTCGCCATCCACCTGCCCGCGCAAACCCACCAGTTGTGGAGCCTCTCCAGTACAATTTGTCGGCCTTCGCATCCCAACTGTGATCCTTCTCCTCTTCATACGGTACCTTATCAACCCAGTACCACGGGCTAGGGTAGAGTATATCCTGAAAGCTTGAGATCTTGCTTTGAGAGAACACTGGAAACAGGTCCCGGACCACGTCGAATGCGTTGGCCCGGTCGAAGAAGCCGTATTTATACCGAAGAGAAGGCGTGTTACATATGTCAGAAAAAGCAGTCGTGTTGTAGATGAACCCCAAGTCACCATGCGCATAGGCCTCCAAATTATCTGGCTCACTCTCATTGAGGGAACGTGCAGGGGTATCTGGTGGACAGGAAGCCCGAGAACTTGTCCAGGTGGGTTGATGCGCAAATCGGTTAAAGCGCGTGGTGCGCACTTCATCAACCCGGTCGCCCTTGTTCAGGTCGGCAGGCTTATCTGACCACTTATTCACCAGTGATTGCTTGTGGAAAGCCTTGGGGATTGCGTGATCTTTGGCAAAGTTCACCAGTCTTTGGAGGTCGTCGCTGGGAACAATCACTCGGGGCTCATCGTGGGTGTTGAATACTAGATCCATGTCCGGCAAGTACTGAATAAAGCTTTTCAGCATGTCAGCAGTTGCATCTTGCTGCCATTCATATCCTTCGCGGCCCCCTTCCGTGTGCGTAACCTTGCCATCTCTGATCAGAACTCCGATCATCGCGTTGTCATATCCCAAGGCTTCATGGGCTCTTTCTCGTATTGTCCTCGGCTCTAGAGACCAGAATGGCAGTAGAGAATGGTAGATAGTATCGTATTCATCGATTAGCTGAACTCCTTTTGCTTGAGCAAACTGAAACCATTTGTCGAAGTTGGGGGGAGGATGCATGCTATATCGACGGCGATATTCGTTCACCGCATCGGCCAAAGTCTTCGATTGTCGCGACCGCAAGTGGGTAAACTCCTGCTCAGCATCTTGAATGAGACTGGCCACCGGGTGGACATTTTGTGGATGAAGCGCTTGGCGACCTTTTGAGGGCTCGATAGGATTTGGCACCGCGAGCGAAGGAGAGGGCGGGTGAGAGGACGGCAAAGGGTTTGCCTCGAATGGCGCACTGAGTCCGTGGGACGAGCGAGGAACCGTTGTGTCTCTAAGTAGAATAAGGGAGATGCCCACAAAGACCAGGGTTGCTAACGAGACGACCAGGCGTTGGCGCCGCATTCTGCCGCCTGGAGGGGATTCTCTATGCATGGAGGGAAACGAGGCAAAAGCATTGATGCGATTTTTATGAACGAAGGACATGGTCAATGCCTGTCTTCATGCGGCAAGGAAGGGAGAACGAAGGGGGCGTTCAAAGGCGCAAGGGCGAGATACCTTTGTCCGACCTCGAGTCAACAAACAATTGGCTCAAAACAGAAACCCCACACGGTTGAAGGACGCCAAGAGTCGCCTGTTCTTTTGTGAAGCCATCAAAGGTGTTCTGGATTTATGAAAATGAAATGAACCTTGAACAACTTCTTGGACACACGGACTCATCAAGCGGTCAAATTGACCTCATTGAATGACGACAACCTTTAGCGACCGATGACCCCAATACACGGACGTCTGTTCCTAGTCGGTTTCCCCCGAAACGATGTTGATCCTAGCGGGGAGGATCTGGCGACGATCCTGGCCCTGCTGGTGGGGCGTGCAGTCAGGGCTGTGACCACTAAGCCCTTTGCAGTAAGGCGGTTGAAAATGGATTGCCCCGTGCCTCGAGGTATATAGACCTTCTTTCTTTGTTCAAGTTGAGTTATTTACTACCTAGTAGTAGTTACCCCTTGTCCTCTAGGGCCTGGATCCTATAAACGGAAGACCATTTCCTTCCTCCCTTTCTCCTTGCTGTACTAGTAGCATTCCAATGTTCTTCACCACGGAGGAATGAATCAGCATGCTGAGACATACTTAACAAATAAGGAAGACATGAAACTATGTTATTCAAGAGATTGGATAGATACAGTACAAAGTACTCTTGTTTGGTAATGGAGTATTAACCTGAGATTTGTAAGGTACATCACTATAAACATATATTTTCATATGGACTCATAAGACTTTTTGGAATGATTTGTGACGCGATTTCCGGGAATGTATTTCTGAAGCATGTTGAGTGCAGCTTAGCTGGAAGCTGAAACTCTATACAAAAACTATCTGAAGCTACCCTTCGACCCTATCATAAAAATGAAGATGGCCTTTACCGTCACACATCATGTCAATGATGCATCTTTGCACCCTTATACCATATGAGCTCATTATGAACTAAAGCCCCGCGATAATTTATGTGTATGTAGAAACTCATATTAGTTAACTTAATGATCTATTACAGCCTACTAACGCATGCGCCGCTCTACAGAGGTCCGAGTTAGGGCTATTATCTTTTATGCTTAAGTATAATATATATTATGAGTATCAATAAGGAAGTTCTATATATTGTGCATACTACCACTTATATTGTAATTAACCTCTCGAACAAACCAGATATTAACGGTCGCTTCCCTAGGATTACGCAGAATCTATCCAAGCCCTAGACTAGATTTGTTGATCCTTGAGGCACCTCAACGACTGGATCGTCCATCCTCCCCCGCAGCATCCTCACTCAACCTGCAACTTCCACAGTTTCCCATGAACCAAAGAGTCTATTCCTCAGGCACCATTCTCATATATTACACAAACAACCAAACCCACAAAATACCATAAGCACATCATAAGATGCGTCATCTACACCAGCAGCAAACCACACACCCCGTTGAGCTGAAGCACCCAAAGCCTCAATCACGAAGATCTGTGCCTGAGCCACATGGAAATACGCCGCAACACACAACAACGCCACTAGCGAAACGTGCATATAATAAAACACCTCCCTCCTAGCCTTAACAGAAGAGGACGGCCACAATTGCACCCAGAATGCAGTACGCAACGGCCGGACAAACAACAGGATCATGACTGCGAAAGTCAGACCGCCAAATCCCCACTGAACGTCCGGATCTTGGATCCGCTTTGCGAGCAAAGAACCGAAATCTGGATGACTAGACTGGGCGAAGAAGTTTAGGTACAACGCAGCATGTCCGGCTAGTAACGGGGACATGACTATCCTGCCGAAAAGGCGGTGGTATGGAGTCAGTGCTGGTTGCGAAATAGATGTCAAGATGGACATCGTAGATGGCGTGGCTGGGCCGTTGGGGTTGAGATAGAATGCCGGAGCCATGAGAACTTGGAAGGGTAGCTGGGAAAGAGCTACGTGACCTAGGGCTTTGGTGAGATGTAGGTAGTCTGTTTGTGTCATGGTTAGCTTTGTCTCGGTTTTCCAATTGCACCGGACTTGACGGGTGCGAATAAATATATGGACAAGGGAAGGGGGCGGAAAGCATGTTATATTCAATGGCCCCAAGGGAAAGGGAACTAGCCTACCATTGCCAGAATTCCATACTGCGAGGCCTAACAGGCACACCAACCAGGCAATACAGATAGTATACTGCTTACGCGTCTCTGTCCAGTTTGCAAAAGGGGGCAGATCCCACCACGACCTCTGCCTACGGCGGGTGCGGGAGTCATTCGGTTTATCAGCAGTTCGAAAGTAGCTGTTATATACCCGTACAAGTATTATCAGAAGTAAGAACGAGCATTGTGCATAATATCCGCGAAGATCTAGAAGCTCGCGGCGATGTTGTTTCTCCGTGGGAGAAACCGAAACAAAGTGCCAAGGCCACTGCAATGACATTGCAGAGGTATCGTCACCACGAATTATAATGGATGGATTGGAAAGTGAAGCAACCCTCAGAGAAAGAAAGCAAGAAACGTGGAAGGATAGGTAGTCGAACTTGGTAACAGGTATGGCAACTATTTTTGGTTGTCTTAGTTATGCATTGCTTACCAGTGGCCAGTCCCCACATCACATGATTCAGTAAATACCGAGAGGCTCGTAATACTGAGTAGTGCTCGGTGACGGCGAAATGGACGTTGAGGGAGGTCAAACATGTTTAGTAGGCGTGGCGTTATTGGATTTCTGCACGATTATTGAACAATGGCCCAAGAAAACTCTACATTGAAAACGCCATTAAGCATTTCATCCCAGTCAGATACTCTGACCATTTCTAAGGTAACAAAATTGACAGTCCTCCCAAAAGTAGTGTGATTGCCGTTGTATCATTTCCCACTCGCAGTGAAAGGCCTTCATACAGCGTGGGAGCATCTATCTAGCTAGGTCAACAGCCTACGGTGAAGTCTGCATAACCTCGTCATTACCGCCCGCAGCAGTTGTTGCGAAGTACCTAACATCCACATCGTCGTCCCCTTGAAGCTTCTCCAGGCTGGGAATAATTCTCTGCTGGATAAGGTCCTGACTACGCGGCGATGGCGTCGCTGTCTTCCCTTCCACGTTAGCCAAAGTGCCCTCCGCTGGCAGGCGTCGCAATGTGTCAATCAGCACAGCATAAGACTTGGCAACGTTGAATCGAATATTTGGAATCTCGTCAGTGACCAATCTGTCCAGGATGGGAAGAATTGAGTTCTCAATGATATCTAAAGAGACGACCGGGGCGAGTGTCTGGAGAGGATGTTAGCTGAATTTGCATTCCCACGGGATATGTCATATACGTACGGAGATCGCGAAGCAAGTTGTCATTCTGTAAAGGTAGTTGGGGTGCTGTCCCATGGCCATGACCTTCGGGATTATAGAGCCCTTAGCCCAGTCAACCCCAAATACCTCCGTGAGCTTTCTCAAGTTCTGCGTGGCGGCCTCTCTGATAGAGAAGACAGTGTCACCGAGCCAGCTCATACAGAGATCGCTGAGTTGCTCGTCGAAGAACTTGACTCCCAATTGGCTGGCGAGGAGAGGGATGTATTCGATGATAGCAAGACGGACACGCCATTGCTTGTCTTCTGCTAGTTGTACGATAGCGGGAAGAAGCGACTGAGACAGCAGGTCAATGCCAATAACTATGAAATGTTAGATGGTACAACTATGTCTCCAAATTCCACGCTTACCCTTGTTGACCAACTCCAGCTTCGAGATGATGTGCAAACGGACATCAGGGAACTCGTCTTTGAGCATTTGGAGGAACATAGGGAGAAGGTGAGCGATAGTCCTAGGCAATATTTGTAAGCTTCACTGGTTCATCATCTTCAAGACAGTTGGTTGTACTAACTCTTCCTTTCCAAGGATTGGGGCAAGCCCGCTAATCTGAGTACCCAAAGCCGCACGCACGTGCTGAGATTGATCCGAAACAAGGTCTTCCACGCTGGTCATTATTTCATTAAGCAGCGTTTCCCGATCGATCAAGCTGCAAAAGCCTATCTTCAGGTTAGCCCCGGGAACCGTTTCAGAAAAGACGTGGAACAAATACCGGGAATCTGGCCAGCAATCGCAGTACGGACTTCAGCCTCCGTATCCTTCAAGAGCTTAACAAACGAGGGTACCATATCCCGAGTGATAACTTCTTCGTGAACAGCTTTGGCGATCTAGCAAAATTGATTAGAACAAATAGATGCAAACTGATCATGTAATGCTCGAAGGTACCTTTTCATATCTATCGGCAACCATGTATCTGACTCTCCAACTCTTATCCTCAAAGAGGTTCCGTAAGGATGTCAACAAGACACCGTGGCTAGGCTGCTGCTCCTTGGGGATCTCCTCGGCGATCGAGATAAGAATATCCACTGTAAGCAAGCGAACGCTGTCCTGGTCATCGCTGGCCAGGTATTGGAATAGGGGTATCATTTCTTCAATGACGACTGGAGTCTTCATTTCCTTGACAAACTTTGCCAAGTTGTTGGCAGCCTGTCTTCTCACCATAGGCGTGTCGTCATGTACCAGACCTCCGAAATATTGCCGGAGACTCTGCTGCAATGCTTGGCCAGACTTCTTGTATGGAATGCAATAAAGGCCGGTTGCGGAGACTTTCGAGGTGAACCAGTCGGCTTTCGACAGACGTAGGACCATAGGGATAAAATGTTCTTCAATCTGCTTCTCGGAAAGCTGCTCGCCGATCTTGTTGAGGGATTCAACAGCCTAGTGCTCTGTAAGCATAGGGTCAACCGATTCATTCTTTGTTGTATCTTACCTTCTCCCTAACCAGAGGTTCCTCGATAGCCGCCAGGTTCTCAAGGGGGGAAAGGAGAACATGTCCATATTCCGGACCACCAACATATTCTACGAAGTTACCCAGTTCTTCGCTCAGCGCAGTCAAAACTTCATCTTCGTCCTCAACAGAATCTGTGATGGCTCATGTTAGGTGTGCTCCGCTTTCCTAGCTGGTCCACGAGTGATGACTGGAGACTGACCGTCAAGAAATGGAATGAGTTCCTCTCGGGTCCTCTCAGCCCCTAAAGCCAATGCAATGGTAGAAACGCGGCGAATAGCATTGAGACGGATAAGGACATCATCGTGCTAGAAAAGCCGGGGATTAGATCCGTCGACGCTTATTTGTAGAGGCGCCGCGCCATCAGGACGGAGTACCATACCTTCAACTCGTCAATAAGAACGGCGATAGGGTAGAGCTCGTCGTTTTCACCCTGACTCTCCATCTCGAATTTGTTGTATTGTATGTTGTGCTATCGGACAAAGGAGACGATTAGAGAGGCGAGGACGGAACAGGTCCAAGTCCTCACTTAGACCACTGGTCGATCTGATATCACGCGAACGCGGCGATAATTACGGGGGGAGGGATGTTTCTAAAAAGGGTAGGCTGTCATATAAAGTAACGACAATGTGCGGAGGCTGCTCGAATGCGGATTAGTTTCAGCTGTCGGGAAGAATATCGGTGGTATAGGGAGGGATAGGTGGTTTGCAAGAACCCCGGAGCGAGAGGTTTCGTGGGGTTTGGGCCGCCGCAGGACAAGTGAGCAAGAATAGCAGCAGTATCATACCTCGACAATTGGACTGGTACCGAGCGAACAATCGTCTGGCGTTAGTGTATCATAAAATATTAAAATGTTCACGAAACAAGACAATGGAAAATAAGAACGAAGTGGGAATATATCTGACGGAGATTGCGAGTGGAGGGGAAGCTTTGTTCTGGAGGAATCTTGCGAAGGTGACGGTCTGCTGGTCGTGACTTTGGGAAAGCAATGGGGCTTGTGGCTGGTGCAAGACGTCTGTGTAGTTAATCTGCCGTCCCGAAATGAATTTAGGGAGGGGTGAAATCGGTGGCGGTGCACTGAGATGTGGCTGGCGGAGCGCCCGCCGTGAGGGTCAAGCCCCAAGTTCCTAACGGGGAACAAAAGTGCCACGGACTTTATGACTCTTCCACCGGTGGCATAGACTCAGCGCAATCACTTGAACCCCGCACACGGACAACCTTGCCATTGGACTTTTGGGTCACTTCACAGAGTCGTCTTCTGTGCGTGGGAGGCTTACTGAACCCTTTCGAGTCCCGATCTCTTGACCTTGAATCGCAAATACCCAACCCCTCACCATGCCCACTATCTCGGTCGACAAGGCCGCGCTCTTCAAGGAGCTCGGACGGGAGTATGGGAAGACCTGTCCAATTTGTTCATGCCATTTGCTAATAACCATTTTTTCTATTTCAGGTACACCACCGAGGAATTTGATGAGCTGTGCTTCGAATTCGGTATGTCGGAGTTATACGAGTAGTTTTTTAGCGGGGCCCGCGCTGACTGGTTTGAACAGGTATTGAGCTCGATGAAGATGTAATGACTCCTACCTCTACCTTCCACCCGTCGCAATATGGAAATACTGAACGGAAACTTGTAGACAACAAATTCAGACCGACCAATCGTGGATGGAGTGCAGGAGCCTCCTCAGCTCAAGATCGAAATCCCGGCCAACCGGTACGCACCCACTGATTTCCGAGTGACTTATATATATGGTATATATTCTGAGATATCTGCAGATATGACATGCTGTGCTTTGAGGGCATTGCCCTCATGCTCAACATCTTCTTGGGTCGGAAATCTCTGCCCAACTACAGACTGGTCGAGCCCGCAAACGGTGAGCTGCAGAAGATCATTGTAAAGGAGGATGTAAGTGGTTCTTAGAGGTGCCAACATGATGAACTCAAGCTGAAGATATATGACAAAGACTATGAAAATCCGACCCTTGGTCTCTGGTGCTATCTTGCGAAATATCAAGTTCGATCAAGCTCGCTATGAATCTTTCATCGCCCTGCAAGACAAGCTTCACCAGAACCTTGCAAGACAAAGAACGCTCGTTTCGATCGGTACTCACGACTTGGATACGATACAAGGACCTTTCACCTACGAGGCACTGCCACCTAAAGACATCAAATTTGTTCCTTTGAACCAGACCCAGGAATTGAACGGAGAGGAGTTGATGACTTTCTACGAGGTATGACTACTGCGTATGCGGTAGGTTAGGATAGATGCTTACTTCTGTAAACAGAAAGACAAGCACCTGGGTAAATACCTTCACATTATTCGCGACTCCCCTGTCTATCCCGTCATCTACGATTCGAAGCGGACAGTTTGCTCACTGCCTCCCATCATCAACGGCGACCATTCTAAGATCACCCTGGACACTAAGAACGTTTTCATCGAGATTACTGCCCTTGACAAGACAAAGGTTGAGATTGTCAACAAGATGATGGTTGCAATGTTCTCCCAATATACTTCGGAGCCTTTCACGTAAGACCTCCTATCACCTCTCGGTTCCAAGTTCCGATGGTCTAATTTCCTCATAGAATTGAGCCGGTCCAAATTGTCTCCGACCATAACGGCGAGACCAGGGTTACGCCGGATATGTCTTCTCGTACAACTCAGGCTGAGGTCTCGTACCTTAACGAGTGCTGCGGCTTGAACCTCTCTGCAGAGGAAATCGCGAAGATCCTGACGAAGATGGCCTATACCGCTAGGCCCTCCGCGGAATCCGCCGACCTGATCGACGTGGACATCCCTCCCACCCGTGCTGACGTCCTCCACCAGGCAGATATCATGGAAGATGTCGCCATTGCTTACGGCTTCAACAACCTCCCGCGGTCCTTCCCCAGCAAGTCTGGTACCATCGCCCAGCCCTTACCTATCAACAAGCTCACCGACATTGTCCGAACTGAGGCTGCGATGGCAGGCTGGTCTGAGGTGTTGCCTCTCATCCTATGCTCCCATGACGAGAACTTCGCCTGGCTCAACCGCAAGGACGATGGTAACACTGCCGTTAAGCTGGCCAACCCCAAGACACTGGAGTTCCAGGTCGTCCGCACAAGTCTCCTGCCTGGTCTTCTGAAGACCATTCGCGAAAACAAGCACCACACCGTTCCCATGAAGATCTTCGAGGTCAGCGACGTGGCATTCAAGGACCTTTCTCTCGAGCGTAAGAGCCGGAACGAGAGACACTTTGCCGCCGCTTGGTACGGCAAGAACAGTGGTTTCGAAGTCGTCCACGGTCTTCTGGACCGCGTCATGTCCATGCTCAAGAGTGCGTTCATCACCGGCGAGGAGGGTCTCGAGAACCCCGGTATGAACGACTCTCAGTACTGGATTGAGGAGCTTGATGGTAAGTTCCAGTTACCCCTATCACCCCGCTGCCATATATTTGTTCTTCTAACATATATTCCAGAGGCAACCTACTTCCCCGGCCACGCCGCGTCTGTCCATGTGCGCATTGGTGGCAAGGATCACGTCATTGGTTCCTTCGGTATCTTGCACCCTACGGTGTTGGAGAAGTACGAACTGAAATACCCAGTCAGCACGTTGGAGCTCAACGTCGAGGCTTTCCTATGAGCTATGATAGGTAGATCGAGCGAACGTGCGTAGATTCTAGATGTTTCATGGTTCGGATATATGTTTAGAAAGATAGTTGATGTCATGAATGAGCATTTAAAATAACAAAAAGTGATATTGATACAAAATTTGCTTTACTCTGCTACTACTGTCTACATCATAACCCGGATCGATGTGTCTGGGTAGAATTGCCATGTCGTCATTCTACCAGACTATGAACAAGGGCGATTAAATGAACGGCCACGTGCGCTTGCACTTTCATGTCTACTGGATATCGGCCATGGTTATGTTTCTCCTGTGATTTAATGATTCGTTGCACATGATGAACCGTAAATTGCTTTTTTTATTTGCCCCCTAGTTTCGTATCGGACATTATCTTTTCCTACCTAGATGTTTCACTAGGAATTCAGGAACAGAGCTGTGGGACGGGAAGACGCCTTTCCTAGCTTGCTAGCGGAGGAAGATAACCAAATGGAAGATCATGTAGTTGTTTATTTGCGTCAGGTAATGATATCAGGTAGGACGACAGGAACGAAGAAAAAAGAGCAGGGCCTAAGAAAATGAAACCAATTACTCCTGCTGGAAAGTCTCCGCACCAGCACCCTCCTGGCCCTCGGCGGCCTGCTGCTCGGCAAGGCGCTGCTGCTCGGCAGCCTGCTGAGCGGCGATAGCCTTGGCACCGTAGTCCTGGCTCATGGGCTGGAGGACGGGCTGCTCCTCCTTGGGCTCGATGATGGTGACGGAGTCGGGGAGGGTCTTCTGGGGGCCGGCCTTGCCCTCGGGGTCGGAACCGCGCATGATCTTAACCTTGATACCAAGGACACCCTGGCGGAGGAGAACGTGACGGGTGGCGCTGTCGATGAAGTCCTTAGCGGGCTGACCGGAGTGGATCATGAATCCGTCCTATAGCCAGATCTATGTCAGCAATGCTGTTGATTTCCCTTCCCTTGGTAAAACCGCAACGTATTATCCCTCTCTTCACACCGCCCTTCTTCGTCGACAAAAACACGATTCCACGAAATATGCGAGAGAACGTACAGTGAACTTCATGGACTTGGCACGGGCAGCACGGAGCTTTCCGGAAACGACAACCTCGCAACCCTTGGCACCGCTCTCCATGATGAAACGGAGAACACCGTAGCAAGCACGACGGACGGCAAGACCGTTGAGGAGCTTGTAACGGAGGGACTCGCACTGAGCGACGGCGGAGAGACCGCGGTTCTGGACCTTGGCGGCATAGAGGGAGACGGAGTTCTCGGGGAACTTGAAGCGCTTCTGGATGAGGGAGGTGAGCTCGCGGATGCGGCGGCCCTGCTCACCGAGAACCTCCTGGGTGTGGGTGGCACGGATGACTGCAGAGAAAAAGAGCATCCGTTAGCATACGAGTCTGATCCTCTTCCGACAATTTTGCACCAGTAAACATCCAATTCATTCCACCTCTTTCATTTTGTATTCCTCATAAAAATTTGTTTTCCCTTCCATTGTTCATCGCTCAATTCATTTCGACCTCCCACAAAACAAGTTCAAAAAAAAGCAATGGAATCTCAATCGGGCGACGTACTGATATCGGTGACGGTGGGAGTGACACGGACTTCAACGCCAGAGTAGCCCTCCTCAGCCAGCTCGCGCTGGAAGAACTCGTTCAACTCGGCATAGAAGACACCGTCGGCGACGAACTTGCGGCGCTTCGAAATAGCTCCCTGGACAGCAGCCATGATTGCGTTTCTGTTGGGTGGATGAAGTTGTCGAAGAAACGGCCGAGGACGTGGTTGCGGAGCACCAAAGTTGGGATGTCGTTCAAAGGCGAAAATAGTCGGCTGCCGCTCGATCAGTTTTGAACAGTCGGCCTTTAGTGGGGTTTCTGCCCGTTTAGGGTTTCCCCTTCCCAATTCTGTGATAGGGTTAACCCTGGGCCGTCGCTTGTGCCCCTTCCCTTTTTGGACCTAGCCTGCCAAGTCTATGCCGTGGCCTCAGGCACTTTTTTCTTATGGGTCCTGCACTCGAACCTTAACCACTTTAGGCAATAAGCTCTCCATAGTAGTGCCTAGTATCTACGGAGTACCTCTACGTACTGAGTACTACCAAGTCAGTCTCAGTGAAACACTTTCCATCTCGCTATGCTCATATTGCTGACAAGTCCAGCGCAAATCTGGAAATCACGGGTTTAGCGCCCCTTGCTGTATCTCTCTACTCATATACCGAGAACAACTGAAGATTTGAAGAGCAAACAATTGACAAGCCAAGCACACAATCATGCACATATTCATAAGCAGGTATGCATGCCCATGGCATCCGGACCGATACCCAGACAGCACCTGTAGATACACTATTCATCAATATGCCCTGAAACCCAACATTATTTTTTAACTCGTTCATTGCATTTCAACTTCAAGCTGCCCCATACTTTTGGGGTCTTGCCCGTTCTCCTTGGGCTTGGAGAAAGCCAAACTCGAGATCCCCGACGTGACGGCTGCCATGCCCGCCGAGGCAGCATTGTGAGCCCCTTTCATACCGGTGCTACTGGTGACAGGATCCTGGGCTATCTCAATGCCAGTCAGCACCGGTGATCGTTCCGCATCAATGTTCTCGCGTCGCGCAGGGGGAGATCCAGTCGAACGAAAGCCGTTCATTTCCGCATCCGTTCGACCAAATGCCTCAGCCCACCACCTGACTTCACTGAGCCGGGGGAATATGAGGCGTTCTTTCCCACGCTTATGATCATCAATATGGGGGTCGTATTTCGCGTTGAGAAATTGCTCTCTCCGGGCGAGGAAATAATCCCACACACTCCGGGTGCGCTCCTTCGCTTTCGACTCCACACGCTCTTTTTCACTGTTATAGAGAAAGGTGCCATACTGGCACGAATAAAGATGATATAGCAGCCGGCGTAAAAACCGCTCGTTAAATTCGAATCGTGTCGGGTATTGGTGCAGCAGTTGATAGGTTGCATCGAGGAATTGATGGAACACCGGACTAGTCTCTTTCACCTTCGTCATCTCCTTTTCGGGGGTAACCGATCTTGGAGCGGAACTGAGTTTCTTAGGACCAGGAGTATCTGAATCGTAGCTTTGCATTTCTCCATCGGACTCGGGAAGAGAGTCACGACTTGTGTTATCTCGGTTGAAGAACCCTTTGGCACTAAGGAATGCATTTTCGATGGCTTTGCCCGCACCGCCAGCCTCCCCGAAGCCACGACTGGAGTCACCTCCGATCCTTTCATTTTCTATCTGGAACCACTTTTCACTGTTCAAGTGTCCAGAACGGTGCCGAAACATGTGCCCAAAGGAAAGCCAGTCTTTCTCCACCAGCACCATGAAGCCCTCCATCGTACGATAATAAGGGTCAAGACATATCTGACTTAAAGCACTAAGCTGTCCGGTCCGATCCCACCCATCCGAGCAATGTATCAATACGTGCGAGTGTTGAAGGCCAACTTGGCGGGCAATCAAGCCCGCGCCGTCTAAAATTCCAGTAATATGCTTTAACCACCCACTGCGTGCAAGCTGGTCTCTATTTGGTCCTAGCGGGGTGACATCTGAGTCCTTCAAGGCATCAATCACCTTATTCAAGGAATCCCTCATAACGTGAATGTTGTCAATTCCGAGATACGCTTTGGTTGCAAACTTATAATTGTCCATATTTTCCGAGCCGAGGCCAACAGCCTGCATCGCAAATGCATTTACCGTCGGCCGTGCATCGACAATCAAGTTGTGCTGTTGAGCACCATATACCTGATGCTTGCCATCCGAGTCCCCGTAGAATGAAGTTAACAGCTCATCCTCCAAGTCTTCCGTCCTGGTAAAATCAGTCACGGTCTCATCATTTGCATCGCCTTGCGTTGAACTAGAAGATTCTCGATCTAAATGCGCTGGGTTGAAATTTGCTAGCGGTCTCTCGGAGCGAGAGGTCGAGAAAATCGCAGCTAATAACTTTTCGTCCTGAATGCTTCGATTTTGACGCACACCCACCAGGGGTTGTGAGCTTCTTGTGATCGAGCAGTTATTAACGGGATGAAGATACGTTAACACGGGCACTCTTGCCCTAGACCGATATCGCCCCGCATAGTTCAGCGTATTATCAGAAATGGAGGACGGAACCGGCAAGAGAGCAGGATAAGTCGGGGAGAACTAGGAAATTCGTTCATGTTAACCACATTATCAAACCCGCCACACTAGTAGGTTATTACCGTATAGTCCGAATTTATGCGAGAGATACGCCAGCCATGGTTATCCCGGTCTACCCCCTGCCTTGCCCATTCTTTCAATGGGTCATATAACTCCCAACTGTTGAGCTCCCGCTCGGGAGGTGGTGGCTGGTAAGTGAAAGCGTAGAGTTTTTCGATCCGCCCAACTTTGCATGTCCACTGCCTTATACTCTCATAAACATCACGGCCTCTCGTCTCGCTGGCGAAATAGAAACAAACGAATGCAAAGTCACGGCAACGCAGACGGATCGACGATGGTTGACGGGAAGCAGCCGGAGCGGGGCGGAAGGTACAGAAAGATATAATAGGATAAGTGATCCAAAGCTCTCTTGGTCTAATCGGCGTGGCAGAAGGTTGCGCACTGTCCGGCAGCGACGGTATATGGGAGAAGATGATATGATGAGGGGTGAGGTGGAGGGTGCCAACAACCTGTTCACCACGACGCGCCAAGGTCACATCGTCAACCTGCAATCACGGATGAGGAGAATGTCAGGAGATCTCGAAACTTGAAGCATAAGCGGCGGTCAGCAAACCTTAGCGACCCGTGTTCTCTCCATGTCTTTGTTGTTTGCTATATCCGCATAAGCTTCATGACTGGGCGTCGAGGGGAACAAATTGGCACTGGGTGCTGTACAGGCGGGGGCGCCTGTAGTTGACAAGTTGCTTTTGGCTTGGGGAAAATTCAATGAGGTCAAATAAGAAGGTGGAAACTAAGGAAAGGTAGGGTTTTGGCACGAACGTTGCGGGACCCTTGGGAAAGTGACAATTCAATCCATTTGGGCCAACGGGACGGATTCGGGACTCGAAAATGCGGAGCCCCTCGCCTAGTGACCTTTTACGTCAAAGGCCTAACCTTAATCAATATAAATTAGCCCCCGTCATCCAATTTATAGTACCTTATATTTAGACCACTCTCTCTAGATCCATCCTTTTCACGTTCTATTTTCACACCATATGCTTTCTTCTTTTCTTGATCTTTTGTCATGGAATTTTTGAGATGAATATATATGATGTATATTTCTGTGACGGATTTTCGCCTTTCGGCATTGTCATAACTAGGGATGAAGGCATGGATATCCACAATACCCATGCTTGGCATCATTTCAAAACAGCTACGCATTGTCAAGCCTATTAAAATGAAACAACTACAGCCATGATACAGAGGCACCTTGTGCAGATCCAGTGAGATCCCAAAAAATTTCGAATAGTGCTGCACTCCACTCGCAACCAGTACCCCCACTCGGCAATTCAGCAACACTCGAGACTGCCTCTTCTACTGGTTGAGTTGCGGATGTCGCAGTCGCCACGTTGACGAATGTACCCATGGGGAATGGTTGCTCAGCGGTAGGGTTGGACTCGGTTGTCTGAACCATTGCCACGGGCGATGGGTGTGCGTGAGCAGCAGCTTCCGCGTTAGACGACTGATCATTCTTGGTGCTTGTTGTCTGTTGGGCTCCGGACGATGAATCTCCGTATACTCTGACCGCAGGTCCTATAGCACGTCGTTCAGGTGTTTTGTAATGATCCGGTTGCGTCTCCCGTGGCGATTGAGGGATGTTCTGCCTTCTACCCCGTGTGATAACAGCTTGGTATCGAAGCTTTTCAATGAGCCTCCAGCGGCGATCATGATAGATATCTGATTCACTCTTCCAGTGGTGGTAGATCTCGTCAATAGTTTTCCAAACAGCATCAGACTGCTCCTCTGGAGGTGCTATACAGAGATGGAGCAGGAGATAAGCCAGCGAGTCCCATTCGACATAGGTCTGGAAAAGCCAGAGCCATCTTTTGCCCTTCTCGTAATTTCGCAGCATTTGGGCGCGCTGTAGGACTTCCTCACAAGCCCTCCTGTAATTTGTCTGCATAAGCATGGCCGGGGCCTGATCCCTCCGTAGCCTGCATACTGCCAATTTCAATTTCACCAAAATCAAACGAATGGAGGCAGCAGTGATAAAGTCAAGTGGAACTTCTTTGTCGCAAAACGACAAGTATTGTTTCTCTATAAGCTCCTTGAATTGCTCTATTGCCTCACGCTTCTGTGCCTCATTCATGACTGGGTAAGTGTTCGTGCGGCAGAACCTGTCTGAAAATGCCACTCTTCGCGCAAAATGGCTCCCTTCAAACCGGACCAGCGTAAAGGTCATCTCGGTTTTTCCAAGCTGACTTTGAGGCAGTTCGCTCATGTCGGGTTCCAGGCTAGTGTCGTTGATGTTCAACGGTAATTCAGTATTGAAGGTAGATTCGAGGATGGTCGGTTCAGAGCCATGGTCCTCTGCCGTTCGGACATCCAAAGTGCATATCTGCCACCAGAGCCGGCGACGCATTTCTGCCTCGAAGGGGGATAGACCTAGACCAGCTCCGTCGCAATGGAGACCAATCTTCATGGCAGTTCCAATGGCAACGCCTATAAGCGTGCATACGTCGGGTCCATTCCCGTCCCTTCTGCCGCAGATCTAGATACTATTCTTAAGGTCCGTTTTGTTTCAAATATGGGTGTATAACTACCAGATAGAGAGCAAATGCTTGCAGAACCGTCAAATCCAGGGACGTGAGGAAGTTCGCTCGTGACAGAGCCTGCTCGACTCCCGTTCGATACCTTACTCAGTCAGCGAAGGCGTCTTCCCATGAGAAACATACGTACCGTGTCAGTATTACGGCTTTGTCCTCATCAAACTCCTCACGACACTCTTCTGCCGACATGGTCACTACGGTAGAGTAATAAATTGCAAAGATCAAGCATTCTGTAGGGGCATCGAGGTTAAATCGGCCTCGAATGACACTCGTTACCTGCCTTTGCACGGTCGGGACATGGAAAACTTTTAGCACGGGATCTACCACATCCAGGTAGGTCTGCCAGATGAATGCGATTACAGCTGGAGAAGGATGAAGGGCTTCTAGCGGGGTTGAAGGGTCCGGCCTCAAAGGGAAAGACTGCCAAAGTTGCCCATCGTTGGGTGAAGTAGAATGAGAAGCACCAGACCAGCCGGAGCTACCCCGGTCTTGTCCGATTTCCTACTACTGTCTTAGTAACTAGCTTACCGGTTGTGGTCTGTCTGCAGTTCACTTTGAATGACGAAAGACAAGCTTACAAGCCTCAACTGATCTTGTTCCTGACTGGACAATGAAGGATTCATATGCAGGAGCTGTGTGATATGCGCTAGACTCCTTTCTAGGGACTGGAACTTGGATTCAATACTTTCCACCCGGGCCACAAGGTCACTGTTAACGGAATGGTCGCCATTTTCACCTGTTTTAGGTTGAGGGTATGTGCACTGTATATGCGTCCGGACACAGTATGCACAGGGTAAGGATCGGTCGCATTTGATCTTGCGCCGGCGGCACTCAAGACAGGACCGTCCCGACGCAATCACCCGGCGGGGCATGTTGGTTGAAGCTAAGTAAAATAGTGCCTTGCGAGTTTGGATTTCACATTTCTACCCTCTTTCGCTCTTGATAAGCGCCACACCCGTAGACTAGTCCGAACTAGAACAAGGCTGTTATTTTGGATTCTTACACATGGTAGAATCCTTGCGCACTGGGTATCATATAATTTACGGAGAGTATGAGCCGGCCTAGACATCCCAGAACTTGACAGTTAGATTTTGTTTGACAAGAGCTGCATATAGTAGGATAATGAAATTCTTCTCCACAAGTACCCCTCCCAAGACTAGTAGACCTCAGGGTCAGCATAAATCGTGTTTAGCTCCTCTACCTGCGTGACATCTTCAACAAACGTAGCGCCATACTCTCTCATGATCTGTATCTTCTCCTCCATATTCATTGCTAAACTTATTCTCCCAAAATCCCGTGGCAGTTGCTCGACACTTTTAAATCGTAATACCCATACACCCACTCCATCCGTCGGCCAACCGTACACGATTACCTTCTCTTCTTCCTCGGTGATCTCTCTCAGGCCCATCCGCGTATCGAACCAGTCCTCCCTACTCGGCCAGAACGTCGCACCAGTCCGTCGCAGAAGGTTACAGAACCTGTCTTCGTCGTCGACACTGGGTGAGCGCTGCGATACATGAGAGCGCGGGAGCGACAGGAAAAGCATGTCGAGAAGATCAGCCTTTTTGATGAGAATCCCGCCAGTGGACGGGTAGCCGTAGACTGTACATCCCCCGATACCGAAGACAGTCCGTTCAGTCGTCGATAGAGGAGGGTTTACTGGGCATGAGCAGACCCGGTCCTGTGGGTTGTCTATTACTGTTTGTTGATGAAAAAGAGTAGGGAAACGGTCCACGTTGATGGGAAGTAAGCGGCCCACGGTTTGTTGGCAGAGAGTTGATAGAAAGTTGAGGGCCATGGCAACGAGCATACTACCAAACCTCATGTTTCAATCAACAGAGCAAGCGGACCGGACATCATAATGGAATCCAACGATGGCGTAGTCCGGAGGGGAGCCGCTCCGATTGGCTGCAGCGGAGGAGCGGAGGACAAAGTCCGCATCTATGTAAGCATCCCATCCATTTGTCATCGAACTGAGTAGCTTGCTGATTCTTAGTACGAAGTAGTATACTGGCCATGTCGATTGAAAAGTAATCCCCTCAACGAGGTGCTCACCCTCCTACATATAAAGATGCCGTCCTCGTCACGTCGTCAGCTGTTCTCAATCCACAAAGCAGAGACATCGCCATAAACTGTCTGTGACTCTCTTCAATCCCCAGTTATTGACTTGCTTAAAGCTCGATTCTTCCCTCATATTCTTTACAATGGCCGGATACAAGAATATTGTCCTCGTTGGTGTATGTAAATTCCCATCTTTGCACTGCACCACCATACTCACACTTCCAATTAGGCCAGCGGTGCTATTGGCAAGATCATCATTGATTGCCTCATTGCATCTTCCAGTTTTAACATTACCGTCTTGTCTCGCAAGGAAAGTAAGGCTAGCTTTCCCGCCGGTATCACTGTCCACAAGAGCGATTTCTCAGATGCCGACCTTGAAGCTGTCTTCAAGGGCCAGGACGCCGTCATCTCAGCAGTAGGTGCCACAGCATTTGGCGAGCAGAAGAAGGTTGTCGATGCTGCAATTCGGTCTGGCGTTCAACGGTTCATCCCTTCTGAGTTCTCCTCCAACAGCCAGAACGAGGCTGTCTTGAAATTGGCACCCTTCTTTGGCCAGAAGAAGGAGCTCATCGAGTACTTAAAGACTAAGCAATCCGATGGCCTGTCGTGGACTGCCGTCGCAACTTCAGGATTGCTTGATTGGGTAAGTAACTTGTTTACTCTAGTTTCCTTCCGGGAAATCTGACTCATTCGGTTAATTAGGGTCTTGAAAATGGCTTCCTTGAATTTGACGTCGCAAACCATACTGCAACCATCTGGGACGGTGGTAACCAGAGCTTCACCCTTACCAATGAGAAGCAGCTTGGCCAAGCAGTGGTTTCAGTGCTACAACACCCCCAGGAGACCAGCAACAAGTACCTCTACATTGCCTCTGTCGAAACCACTCAGAACGAGATCCTGGCTGCACTGGAAGAAGCAACGGGTGCTAAATGGTCCGTGAAAGCAACCACCACCGAGGATCAGGTTGATGAAGGATTTAAGAAACTCGGTGCTGGCGACTTCAGTGGTGCATTCCAACTAGTCCGAGCCACCTGTTATGGCAACACCCCTGGCCTGCAGGCCAATTATGCCAAAGACGTGACCCTGGCCAATGATGTGCTGGGGTTGAAGTTGGAATCAGTTCGGGATACTGTCAAGCGTGTTGTTGCATGATCTAGAGGCTCAATCAACTGTTTTCAAGGCATTTTTATCATACTTGAATGCTCAAGGATCTAAAACCCAAGGATTGTCTGCCGATGAATTGAATGCCACAAGTACTCTAGAAGTAACGTGATATACATACATACATATAGATATATTTGGCGGGTCTTCGTACTAAGTCTCGAAGCGTCTTGTGGCGTAATGTTTCAGAGTTCTTGGTTACATAAATTCCTATGAAAAAGACTATAAAACTTAACGTTGAACCTATACTAACTATGCAGATCAGATTGTGTTGTTACTGCGTAGTCAGCTCAAAGCTGTTCATAGTTCCGAGATGACATCACTGGTATATCCACCCTTTCCAAATGCGTCACATTCCTTGAAAATGTACTCACAGCTTGGAACATCAATCAATCCTGCGATATAGAGTCCAGAAGCGATCTGTTGCCCGTGATGGACTGCCTCTTTCAATAGATACTGCCAGCTAGTTCCACGCGTCCTTGACAGCCATTGAACACCCGTGTTGCGTCCTATAATCCTCACAACACATCAGTCTCAGTGTTGCTTCCCATGCATTTAGAATTAGTCGCTGTATGGTTCTGCATCAACAGTCTCGCATCTTCGGGGACGAATATTACCTCTAAAAAATTGTCGTAGTAGCCAAGCATCCGTCAAGCTGCTGCAGGACTATGACTGACTCAAACTATGCACCACCAACTGCGGAGGACATATTTCACTACCGATATCAGCATGGTACCAATCTAGGCTCTATGTTTGTGCATGGGCCTTGGTTAAGTGATGGAGCATCCAGTAGTGACTCCGGAAGCTCCAAGGAGCTCGAAGAGGTAAAAAGGTCGGCGCGCATAGGGAGACACCCCTTCTTTGCTGGCTTCGTTGCTGATACAATCTCACGCATACAGGTCGCTCAAGGCTTGCGGACTCGAGGAAACCCGCTTGAAATGGGAAGCGCACTGGCGGACTTCCCTGACCGACTTCGACATCATATGGCTCAAAGATGTGGCACGATGCAATTCAATACGAATCCCGATAGGCTTTTTTACCCTTGGGCCAGTCTTCTGCACGGGGACGGATTTCGAAGGCGAGGCATCGGAGGTGTACGTTAATTGCTGGAATATCCTGAAACGTCTCATCGAGAAATGCTACCACCATGGTATCGGAGTCCTCATTGGTTTTCAGATCATTCCAGGTAGCATGGACCGTAACAGCCACAGTGAGATTGGGATTGCTGACTTCTGCGCGAGTGAGCGCAGTTGGACGATGGCCACGGACTGCGTCACTTTTATTGTCCAAGAAGTTACGTATCATGCGATGGCTGGGGTGATCGGAGTTCAAATATCTAGCGAAACGGACTGGAAAACCTGCGATCTTCGGAAATGGTATGATGAAGTTCTCGAAATCACGAGCTGTGTCAACCCATCCCTACCCATCTACATCAGTGACGGTGGGAATTTCGCCGAGGCGTTGGACTATGCTTTGAGGAAAAACAGACTTGAGAGCCCTGTAGCCAGGAGTCCGATTATCGTGGATACCCACAAGTATTACACGACGGGATCATATCAGCACATGGACCCCAGGGCTATCATCTCACAGCTTCACAGCGAGCTCTCTGAACTTTCAACTCGTCAAGGCAAAGTAGGCTCTCATCGAACTGCAGTCGATGCCTACATCGGACAATACAGCTGCGCGATGGATGCACAAACCTGGGCCCGCGTGGATGCGGCCGAGAGACCGGCCTTAACCAAGACCTTCGGTCAAGAACAGAGCAAACAGTGGGAGTCCAAGACATGTGGATCCGCTTTCGTGGGTTACAAAATACACCGGATAACCGGTGATGAGTGGGACTTCGAGCGGCAAGTCAGTACTGATGCTATACCGCCTCCTTCATGGCTCGCTATTCCCCGAGCACAAGTTATCAGTAAAATTGCACAGGCTGAGACCCAGCGATTGCAGTCCCGAGAGTCTGCTTTATCACAACACTCGGACTCACCAAATACTCGCGAGCACCAACAGTATGCCCTCGGCTGGGACCTTGGATTCAATGATGCGTTGAACTTCTTCGGTGCATTATCACGAGACGTTCTTACTGGTGGCTGGAACGGAGGAGAGAAAATCGGGGCAATGGAGCTGTGGGTTCGAAAGCGATTCGCTGACACCGGAAAGTTGAATGAGGACTTTGCTGAGGAATGGGAGAATGGCTTCAGGAAGGGCGTCAGCGATTTCTACGACTTAGTCGGTATCAATACCAACAGTGTTCATTGAGATACAGTAATGTGATGGATGCTACGATGCTGAATTAATTCATGCTGTTACCAATGTCGTGATCAACTGCATACTATTAATGTTCCTCGGGCGAACTTACTAGCAAGCCAAATTATTCGTGGATAGTAGCACTTTATACCCTGGTCCTCACTACTTGGACCATGAAAATGTGAACATACTACCACCTACGATTGGACAATTCTATTGAGGTGTAATAAAATGCCTATGAGACCACAATACCCAGGCACTACACCAGGCTACATGACATTTAATGCAATACTTGAGGGAGAGGGTATAACGGTATTTACATTCTTCAAAGATTATTATAACAAGAGCAACAACGGCCCACGTGGAAAAGAAAAATATAAGTAATATACATATACATATAGCGATCACATCATCCATCTCACATCGCACGACCGGATTTATCCAAGTCAAACGCCAAAGAGCAGGCCGCTTTATAGAAAGAACTAAACTCTTGCTGGACAGGTTCCTGGGAGTCAGCATTCTGTTCCGACGAGCCAGCCACATCCATATCCAAGAAGATGTCCGTCGTACGATGAGAACTAAAAGGCCCACTCTCGTAGAAAGAGTAGTTAAGTCTGTGGCCCTCATAATCATACTGATGGAGACGCGTGCCCCGGAAATCGTTGACAGGCAGATACATGTACTCCGCCGTAGTGAAGCCATCGGGATCGCGTTCTTCGCCCGTCTCAACCAAGAGATGATTGGGGATTGAGAGCTGAGAAAAGGCCGGAAGAGGAGTCTCGCCCTCGTAGATCACCGCTTTGGAGAAGAAGTCCCGCAGGGAGTCCTGGAGTGGTACCAGGGGACCGTCCTCGCCGAAGCTGTCCAGTACATCGTGGGTTAATTGTCGAGTGAAGCGGAGATCGAGGCTGCATTCGGGGAGGAGGTAGTCGACGCTGCTTTGGGATAGGATTGCTTTGGCGTTTTGCACGTTGTATTCGGACTCGAAGCCTCCTGGGGCTATGGCGACTTCGAGCTCGAGCTGGGGGAATATGTTTGCGTGGACTGCGGATGGGACTAGGCGGAGACGGTGTGGTTGGATTTCTTCCTCTGGGTAGTCTGCGGCGAGCTGGTGCAGGAACGGGATTACTCGGGGAATGTCGGTTGTGAAGGTCCGCGGAGGTGCCAGTTTGCCCAGCTGGGCGGCGGTGATGGCCTTTCCTTCGAACGGCTTGTGCTGGAAGAGGCACCGGCCGACTGCTGCTGTTATGCTCTCGTGGGCTGCGGCGTTGCCGATCTTAGTGCGAGCTCTTGCGCGCAGAAGTTTGAGGAGTTCGCCTGATAGGCGCGTTTCGTGTTGATTGAAGAATGGTGTGTCTGACATGCTTGATGAGATTGTTTGCGCCGATGGTACGGCCCAGCGGAACCATGTATTCTGTCGATCAAACCATGATACATTGAGTTCCGGGTTGATGTCGTAGGTGTCGACGGGCTCTGAGGCTGCCATGTAAGTACCGAATGGTATCGGAGGCTGTGTGGCATCGTGAATTGCCAGATTCAGTGTCCTCCGAGCGCTCTCTGCTTTCGGCTTGTTTTCGACAAGGTAGAACATCTTAGTTGGCGTAGTGGAGGTCAGGTCGAATGAGACACCGTAAGTCATGCTGACCCATGACAAGAAATCGGCAGTGAAAACACGGTTTTTGCCTTTTGGGGTGGCCCCGGGAGGGTACAGTTCAAGATCCTCCTCTCGTATCCTGGTCGTGGCGTCGTATATGATGTCACGGATGAATTCACAAGAATGCAGCTTTCCAGTGATGCGAACAAGGCCAAGCGAATGGGTGATATCAATCTTCGCATCGTGAAGACCAGCGAGTTCCTCGAAGGAAAAGTGTTCGGAGTGTAAAAATAACGACAGTGTATGGGCGGGCAGACGAATATCCAGCTGACCGACTTCGCCAATGAGCCCAAGGTGCCAGCAATCGCGGAGTATCCGCTCAGTGAGCAGATACTTGCCTCTGAGATCTAGCGAAGTTGCAACTCTTTTAGCGGCTCCCACCTGGGGGGCCGACTCCGTTTCATAAAACGCCGAAGTACCCGGCCTCCATTGCGCAAGTTTTGGTCCTCCATCAAGTACTAGTCCTTCGTCCGACACGGCGCCGTCTGCCTTAAACTGCTCAATGTAGTCCGACAGTTGCTGGATTGTGAACGACGTCTGGACATCTGACCGAAGATTCTCCCAATCGGCGGTACTCAATTTATCTCCCGGACGATAAGGTGTGCGGAAACTTTCGATTCGCTCCGTAATTAGATCGCTATCGAGGATGTCTTCGGTGTTCTCTATATCATACAGCATAAACGGCAGTGCATCTTTCGTGTTTTCGTCGGTGTGCTCTTTCGAATCTTTGAAGTCGAGAAAGCGGCGACGTTTTGGATGCGGTACGACAACTACTTCACCAGGATTTCCCAAGGAAGACACATCGATCGGTACCTTGTCAAATTTCTCTCTTCTTGGTTTTGTCAGATGCTTTAACCTGCGTCTGTATCGGGGTGGTCGATATTCTGTGCTTTCTGGGCTTTCTGGGCTTTCTGGGCTATCATTTTCTGGTTCGCCGCCGTCCGTATGCTGGGACCGGACAAAAACGTCGCGTAGTCGAAGGGCCGATGGTGACGAGCATTTCCTGCAGGAAGGGGTTATCGGGCAGCTCAGAAGCCCCGCGACACCTTTTGAAGAACGCGAAAGCATCTGGGACACCAAGGTGGGGGGAATGGCACTTTGTGAGTAACTTTTCGGCGAGCGAATGTTGAAGCTCTCAACTTTCAAGCCTGGAGAATTGATTCTAGATTTACACTAGCCCCAAAGTGGACTAGTCGGCGGATGGGGCACTTCCCAATCGGTGATAGGCTTCCGATCTCAATGTTCGATAGTATATAAAAGATGAAATGCGACGGATTCCAGCCAAAAAGATATGGGTATTATTTAGAAATATAAGATTAAATACAATACCTGAAAAACATCTTCTGCCATCAATCCTTAACACCAATCTCCCAGCTCCTTAAATCCTCCCGAACATCAAACTCCGAGAGTTCGTGATCATTGCTGCGGTTCTTCCAAGCATTGCCCTTCGCAGTACCGTAAAGTTGATGTTCAATGCTGCTTCGCTTCCTGCTGTGGCCAACTCTCGAACTGAATTCCGGCAATTTACCGTCACTGCGGAACTGATTGCTAGAAGAGCTTTTCGGTCGTCTTTCAAAACTGGGTGACAGTCTATTCGCCGCCGTACTTTTCGTAGCTGCACCGGTGGATGGAAGACGGTCAGCTTCCTTGGCCGCGGCCGATTGAAGACCATAGACTTCATTGCTCCAGCTAATGCTTCCCGAGAAAAGGTCCTCAACTAGCTTATCCGCAGGTGTGTCGTCAGAGCGAGAGTTGCAAGAAGCAGCCAAAGTCCGGCGGTACATATCCTGCATGTCAGCAGTTTCCCTACTTTGCATGTTGATAGATGGTAGTGGACCCAAATCATCAGGATCGGTCTGTTCTGCAGAAACGATGCCTGTGATGCCACCGAAGACCATGGCCGATTTTAAAGGGGGCCTACCGCACGTCAGTCACCAAGTCAGAATGTATGGTTGTATCAACACACGTTGTAAAATTCCTATCACCATCCACTTGACGCATTGATACCCCAATCTTAAGAGTGCTGTTTACTTTGCTGTCCTGCATCAAGTATCTTCTCACGATACCCTCATCATCATCGCTCTTGTCCACATATTCAGCGAGGTTGAGTCTGATCCTTCCCAGGAAATTCTTAGTATCGCCGCCTCCTCCCGATTCAAACTCCTGTATGATTTCAAATTGTAGGTCGCATTCGTGCAAGCTCTGGTTCCGGTCGATAGTGAGTCGAACTGGCAAGGTCTTCTCGTAACTCCAGTATGCTCGGTGATCAATAATCACCGCCTTGTCTGTGTGCCCATGGTTTTCGGCACCGCTTGACGAAGGTAAGCGCCATTTGACAAATGCTGTGCCGTTCACGAGGGGAACATTGTTCAAATCGATTATCTTTAGCGGCCGTGGAGTCAGTATCGATATGAATTATCAAGACCAGGGGATTCGAGTAACTTACCCTTAAACCAAGCTCAAATCTGGGCTAAGAACACAGTCAATGATTTGAACGAACAGATTATGCCGCTTGACTCACCCTCCGATTCTTTGGAACTGAAGGGATTCCATACGTTAGCAGGAGGGTCCTATGAGGTCATGATGTCCCGACTGATAGGGGGACGGAGAATGCTCCGCGGATAGAACAAGGTCACGTAGGGGATGAGCATACCAAACGCCTGCATGGTTGGCAAGGCTCAGTCCAGTGAGCACTATATAAGCATCTGTTCCTCAATTATTTCAATATCGTATAAGCTTCTCTCTGTTCCAGATGAGAGTTCGCATTGCTTCCGGTTTCCCCACACTCCGCGCCAAGGCGGAGGCTATTGGAATACGTCCCGCAGAAACTGACCGCCTCGAGCGTCTTCCCGGCGCTGCGGAGGTAAAATCCATGAGTGAGCGCATCTTTTTAAGTACTCCAGTCAGCCTCCACGAGAGCCGGCAGATATCACACCCTTCTTAAGTCCAATTGAAAGTGCAAAATGAACCAGGAACCCCTATCCCCACCTTCAGAGCCCACGCCTTCCCCCACAACCAACCCGGTCCCCTTGGGCTCCCCTCAGCGCACGACCCCAATACATCCTCTACTTCCCGAAGTCCGCGTCCCCGGCGAGCCGTTACCGCCGCACAAATACCACCCGGTTACTTGTATTCAGATTGATGCGGAATCTGAGGACATCCGCGCTCAGCTTGAGCAATTACGTCAAGAATACACATCGCCGGAAGCAGCTCTGAAAGCACAGGAACAGGCTGCCAGAGAAGTAAAACAGAAGATGGAGGACGCCGAGAGGAAACGCGAAGATGTTCAAAAAGCGATGGACAAGAAGATCAAGGAAAGAAACACCGAAATGAAAGTCTGTCGAAATATCAAGAAGTGAAAGCGTCGGATATCCCAGCTTGAATAAAAGATGCAGGGGAGGTTGCCTTCAAGAAACCGCTCACAGAACATACCAAACGACTTGGGTGTTCTAAGACTGCGGCATTTCTCATCAGATTGGGACGAGCCCGGCCGCCACGATGCTTGCTTCAAACTCGGTTATGAATTACCGTTTATTGTCCCGCTAACGGATCTATTGTGGGTTTCGGTTTCCGTCCATCTACACCTATTTCCCATCGACCTTGCCTCCTCAGCGCTTCTCAACTTTAACTACCTAATCCAAGAGCTTGGAAGAATACCCCCCAGCAGTGGCATGGGGAAATGCCCTTGCGCTGAGTCAGGGAGCTCTATAAGGGAGGGGAAGAAAGAAAGCCATTGGACTGTCCATTGGCTATGGTAGACATCGGTCTTACACGAATTGCGTGTTTCCTTCGAAATCATGCGTTTTGTTTTCGCCAAGGTACTCCTGCAAGCAAATCGAACCATCTCATGGGCATGGATTATAGTTTGGGCTATGGACGGATTCATATTAAAACATCACATCATTGTAATCGGGGCCGCTATATCTTGGCACCCGAAAGTATCACAAACATGAATCTTATCGACATAAGACGTGATAATATCCTCGCATTATTAAAAGTAAATTCGTTGTCCGTTAATCATAAGCCCTTATACTGTGGCTCTCGATTCTTCACAGTGTACCCAGAATCTTCACCACGACAGGCAGTATCTAGAAAAGAAAGAGTCAGCGAACAGCTAGAAAACCATAGCTTAGGGCTGAGCTTACCTCAGAAGCGTCTTCGATCAAAATCTGTGTTTCATTGACGAATTTCTTCGTCAACAAGTCGTTGGCGTTGCCGAGAAGGCCACCAACTTCGCCGAGTAGCTCTGGGGTAATAACAGGCGAGACACCGTCAATGAGATCTCTCGTCTCATTGACAAACTTGGGGGTAAGGAGGTTCGTTCCGTTGCCGAGAAGGAAACCGACACCCTCCAGCAGGTCGGGGGTAATGACAGGTGCCACATTGCCGATCAGGCTCTTCGTTTCATCAATGAACTCGCTCGTCAGGAGCTTGCCAGCGTTATTGAGAAGACTACCGACTTGCGTGAGCAATTCAGGGGTAAGGACGGGCGAGATGCCATCAATCAAGCCCTTAGTCTCATTGACAAACTTCGGCGTCAAGAGAGAGTCGGCATTTGCAAGGAGACCACCAACAAGTCCCAGAAGCTCAGGAGTGATGACTGGTGCAATGCCGTCGATCAAATCGCTGGTCTCCTTGACAAACTTCTTAGTCAAGAGAGAGTTGGCATTGCCAATCAAAGTGTTGGTTTCGTCGACGAATCCATCGGTCAGCAATTTGCCAGCACTGTTCAACAAGCTACCGACCTTCAAGAGCAGGTCAGGTGTCAATACAGGAGAGATCGTGTCAATCAAGCCTGTAGTCTCATTGACAAACGATGGAGTCAACAGGTTGTTGGCGTTGTCTAGCAGCGAGCTGATCTGTTTGAACAATTCAGGCTTCAGCAGAGGACCGGCCTCCTTGAGCAGGTTCTTGACCAAGTCTACGAAGTCCTTAGTCAGCAGGCTGTTGGCATTATCCAGTAGCGAGCTGATTTCTTTGAAGAGTTCAGGTGTAAGTAGAGGGCCAAGCGAGTTGATCAAGTTCTTGATCTGCTTGACGAAGTCCGCAGTCAACAGATCGTTGGCATTGTTAAGGAGGCCGCTGATCTCCTTGAAGAGCTCAGGAGTCAAGAGAGGACCCACTGCAGAGATCAAACCCTT